GGGCGGACTGGCCCAGGCGCCTGCTCGAGTGGGTGTGGCCTGGGCCGCGGGAGCGGTGGGCTGTACGGCGCAGGTGGGCCCGCCCGGCCCTTTAAACGTCGCCTCTGTGGGCGGAGCCGCCGATGGGGATGGAGCCGCTGGCTGTCTCCGTGCTGGGTGACTGGGCTTGTTACGGGTTCACTCAGCGAGATAGACCACCGACTCAGAATTTAAATTTAAGAGCCTTTATTAAGCTGGCCAGCTGACTACAGCTACAGCACCCTGCCGAAGCAGGGGCTGAACTGCAGCCCCGACTGCAAGAGTTACAGCGTTTTTATTTGCAAAAACCACAAAGTTACAAAGCCTTGTTTACACAATTAGTTCCCGACACAGTATAGCATCATTACCTTCCTATCTATGTGTTTTAGGAACAGAGAGGACAGCATATTGAGAAGGGGCCATGAGACCATATCTCAAGGCCTGGCCTGATGTCAGTACCTTCCTATCTATGTGTTTTAGGAACAGACAGCACAGCGCGCCCGTCTGGCTGAAGTGCCAGATATGCAGCCCAGCACATTCCCCACTGGTTTTATGTACATAAGTCAAATCATTGACTCTTTTGGGTCATTGTTGGGGAGGGACCCCTGAGGACTATAAGCTTGATAGAATTAATTCTTTGCCGAATAAAGTCAGTGGGCCTGTTTATAAGATAAGGGCGTGGAATGAGGGTCCATTGAGTAATCTTCAGAGGGTCTGAAGAGTCCTGGACTCTCTATTTTTCCTGGGCTGTCTTAAGCCAGGTGTGATGAAGCCATATCAGGATCCCGTCGACCTTGACTGCTGTGGGGGTGGTCCTTTCCAGGCAGGAGTCAGTCCTTGGGTGGCAAATTTCTTTACCCAGAGTCACCAGGCTGGAAGGGATGCACCAGATACTGGCAGAACATCTCGGACTTGCTTCTTGTCTGCTTTCTGGGTAGACTGTAAAGCCTTAAAGAACTTAAGTAAACTGGTGAGATGAGTAGTTCAGGGTCTGGAAGAGTCACTAGAATCTGTAAAGGCCCCACTGGTTTTAGGGCAGCCTCCCGGGCTGCTTCGTCTGCAGCCTAGTTCCCTCTTGCTTCTGGGGAATCCCCTTGTCTTACATATATAGAGGTGGAAAGACTTAGTTACATCTGGCAGTGCCAATCGGCCTATCGTCCTTGCTCTGCTCATGTTTGTCTAACTGCTTCTATATTACCTCAAGGATCCTGGCTCTGAATTCTTTCAGGGAAAATGGGCATTGGATTTTCTTCTGTAACTACTTCGAGCTGAGGAGGGACAGAAGTTTCTCTCAGAGCCAAGAGATCCTTGCTGTCTGTCAGAGAGACGATGAGGCCTGGGCATAGAAGGAGATGGGCTTGTGACCTGGCAAAGACAAGCTGTAACAAATGGTCTAGTGGGAGGGAAAGAAAACATTTCAGTTTTAATAACCTCCATTGAAATAGAGTTTTTCTCCTTAAAATTATCCCTCTGTTTATTAAAATACTAATTTATTTACTGTATTCAATTTGGCCTGATTGTTTGCATAAACACAACAAGAATGGTAACTGACTACCTTTGCTGGAATTTCCTGATTGAATCTTAATGTGCCCCATAGGGCCAGGAAGCCAAGCCATCTAGCCACCATCAGGCCTGCCTGCAGTATCTGCTGAGTTAGGTGAATCCCTCACCTGTAGCGACTCCACCTGAGCCCACGCTCTAGGCTTTAAGGCCCATCTCAGTAGCCCTCCTACTCATCGCAGCCCAGAGTGCGTGGGGGTTCCGCAGGGACGCAGAGGCGTCCTTATTGCTCCCCTTCCACTCTGACCAACCGCCAGTGATGGTAGGGCCTGGGCCTGACGCTCCAGCGCCAGCCATTTTCAGGGCTCCCAAGCAGGATACCAGGCTTTTTCTGTGGCACTCTTATTGGCTTCAAGTCTTCAGAGTCCAGACAGGTCTCTTTAAAACATGATACTCCAGTCAAAGTTTTCGGTTAATAAAACCACTATTGGAAACCGGTCTTATTGAATTTATGCAAAGAAATGTATTGCCATGATGTATTAAGCATTGCCAAATTTCGGAGGAATTATATAAGGAGAAAAACATACTGACCTGCTCTAAGATTTTCTGATTTTCCTTGCCAGTCCCTTTTTATGGACTCTTCAGAGTAATTGTCTTTAAATGGCAAGAAGAAATTTACAATGTGTCTATATTCAAATAGTTACAGCTGTCCCTGTAGTAGGGCTCCCCTTACTTGTTCTCTAAGAATGGACCAAGGGAGCTTTATTTCCTTATAGGGTCTTACATGTCACTGGACCTCACAGAGTCTGTAATTCCTGTAACAGAGGGCTAGTACTCACCACCTCACTACTTCCTTCTGTTCCAAATAGGCCTTCCCTAGTTTCCTACAGTTGAGGTTTTGTGCCACCCCTGACATGGGCATGGTCACACAGGCCTGCAAAGACAGTATACACGCTGCCAACTATCAATTGTCTCTTAATAGAGACCAAAACCTGATGGGTATTCTTCTTTGCCCAGTTGGGCACCTGCCCTCTCGGCAGCTAGGCACCCTCTACTTTTGAGGTTCACCCCACATAGCCCCCTTTTAGGAAAGCTAACACATAGCCATAACAATGGCCCTCAGTGTGAGAATTTGGACACTTGCTAGTTACTCCCAAAGACTACCAAGGACTGTAGACCATCACCGGAGTACCCTACAACAGCACAAAGCTCTAAAAGCTCTAAGGCAGCGGTTCTCAACCTGTGGGTCGCGACCGAACGACCCTTTCACAGGGGTCGCCTAAGACCATCCTGCATATCAGATATTTACATTGTGATTCATAACAGTAGCAACATTACAATTATGAAGTAGCAACAAAAATAATTTTATGGGAAAAAAAATTTATGGTTGGGTCACAACATGAGGAACTGTATTTAAAGGGCCAGAAGGTTGAGAACCACTGCAGGAAAAGATCTAAGGCGAGACCCTCGAAAACCCAAAAGTACCCGTAGGTGCCGAAGGAACTGCAAACCACCAACAGAACAGTGATGGGGGAAGGGGTGCGGGCAGGCGAGGAGAATGAAATTAAATAGGGGAGGACCTGTGACGCCAGGGGTGACCAGAAAAGAGAATGGACCAGAGAAATGGCGAAGGCTGGACCAGCGATGAGGGAAGAACCTCATTGGAGCAGGAAAACTGACCTGAGAAGGAGAGGACTTTGTCAACACCAGGAACCCTGCCTCGACCAACCTTTCCTACCTAGGCCCTACCCTACATCACTGGCGTGGCTCAATGGTCACTTATTTTTTTAATCTATTTTTCAATTACAGCTGACAATTTATGTTTCAGGTGTATAAGATAGTGATTAGACATTTATATACTTTATGAAGTGATACCCCAATTAGTACCTATCTAAACCATACATGCCTATTACGATATTATTGACTATACTTCCTATGCTGTACTTTATATCCTTGGGATAGTCATTAATCATTTTTTACTTTTCAGTTACAGTTGACATACAATATTGTATTCTTAGGTGTACACCCCAGCAGACTAGGGAATCATAATTATAAAACTATTAAGGAATCATCCCAGAAAATCTCATACCCATCTAATAACAATTAGATTATAGACTATATTCCCTAGGGCAGGGGTGGGCAACCTTTTTGTGAGTGCGTGCCAAAACCAGCAAAATCTCTGACTCAAAATTCTTCTGCGTGCCAACCCTAACTTTTTGAGAACATGTTACGCCTACTTGATATCTCTTAAGGTGTACGTATGTGAAGAACCTTGAAGAAATAATAAAATTCATTCGAGTGACAAAAACACAGCATATGATGATGAAAAATACATTTATTTTTTAATGTATACAGGTACACTGATAGTCTGACAGAAAACTTTATGACTCCATTTGACATTATCAGTGGGACTTTTGCTGCTGCATCACTGATGACAGAGATTTTACATCAGGTTTATATTTCGTGACCTTCAGAGATATGCACGAGCTACTACTTTCATCCGTCAGGCTACTCCTATTACGAGACTTAACAAAATTCATCACTGAGAACAAAGATTCACAATTGT